TAGACGAAGCTATGCAGGAGCATATGTTCAGTCTTAAAATGCCTAGCAAATTACGGACCAGGCAATAAGTCCAGCAGCTATCTCAATCAATCGTCAGCTATGGAACGATCGGGTTCCAAAGGCCGGATCCCTTGTGAATCAAGTCACGAAAAGTTCAAGAATCGGCAACTGGCCATGGGCCTATTTCTTCAACGCCGACACTTCTATTCTATCGCGAAATGGTGAAAGGTGTGGGCCAAATTGAGCAAGTCTTCAGAAGCTCCCATAAATATTCGATAAAAAAAATAGAACGCGGATGCAACCTTCCGCAAGTCCGTCAATCTGCCACGGATTGAGCCTGCCGTCAGTAACCAGCCCACAACATCGTTTTGTTTTAAATATTATGTGCCTTACACCACCAAGCAAGGGAGCGAATAGGCTAGAGTGTAATGACTGTCTACCATATAGCGTTTCATCGAAGCATAACTTCATAACCTTGCCAGAGCTCGAACTGCAACCATCGTACGACGTAATGAGACCAATCAGCTTAGTTCTCCTGTAGAGTTGCAGGAAACCTGCCGTGCACCAACAGGTCACGGATCGAATGGAACTTCCGCGATATCGTTATATTATGGAACTTTTAGCTCAAAGTCCAAGGTTATGTTGCACATAGTACAGTTATATTCAAAAATCAGTATTCCTTCGACGATTGGCCGTTCGATCGTGGGCTGATTAGACGCTGAGGACGAATACTGGCAGCCAGTTGGTGCGAAGGATGAATACTGGAAGGGGGCCCTACACGTTTTGTCAAGTTGGTGTAAATAATTGTTTTGGCAGACGAAGCGGGCCCGGCATGAAGCAGATGAAGCGGGTCTCTGTTGCTGGAGGATGGTTGGTCAAATTTAAATGATATGTTTTGGCTTGTGAGGCTTGTAGCCCATAATGTGATAGTCAAGAATTACTGTAAACCACGTTATTGTAGGAAATGATCGTGTCATTCCATGCGCCGCTAAGCGAATTGCTCTAATATTTTTCGTTTCTACTAATAATAATGAATTTTTGTGAGAGAGAGGGAAAGAGAGATCCGAGGGAGAGAGTGGGGAAGTTTCCAGTCGGTATAAGTAATAAGATTAGTGAAGAGCTCTAACCTTACTTTCATAAAAAGAATTCACGACACAAAACAAATGAAGCCCAAAAGACGGGAGCATAATTTTAAAAATTAGATCAGTACTCACTGCAGTGAGTGACAGAGTGCGCATTTTCTCGTCCGTCCTTGAAGTCACGGACAGACGGACGAACTGTCGGACGGACTGACATGACGGGCACAATAGCTCCTTTTTTTCCATAAATGAAAAAATGCGCTAAAAACACCGAAACCTAAAACCAAAATTAAATTAATAGTTTAACTTAATGGAGGATTATGCCAAAACAATGATAAATGGCTATAGTCTTAATCTTTTTAATATTATCTATTCCAAGTGTATTCCAAAGTCTACATCGTTAAAAATCAATCGTTATTTGGATAGGTAATCCCTAAATTCGAAATTGACTTAGATGTTTGGGTAGTATTCGTAATTTTCATTCATAAAGATTCGAGAATTGAGAGACACTTTCACCTATTTAATTAAAGCTTCTATTTTGTTTTCAGGTGAATTTGATGTTCTGTAGCGAGTTATTCCCCACATCCATTCGATCTTTTGGCACCAGCCTGGCTTTTTTCATGACGAGCGCTGGCTTCAACATCCTCCCTTTGCTGAAGATTTTACTGGTTCGTATGCACTGAATTCCGTCTGGAAACTTCGCGAACTTTTCAATCATGATGATAAAGTCCAAACAGAGAGCAAGCATTCGAGTACTTTTAAACTATAAAACATATAAATTTTATTCCAAAATAATTGGCATAAATTTTATTTCACATTAGTTTCTAACTCAGTATCATCCACGTTTTTCCAGCCTGCAGGCCTATCATGGCTGCCTCTGACCATCTACGCCATTCTCGCCGGTCTGGCAGCCTTCCTGATATTGCTGCTGCCAGAGACCAACAACAAGCCGCTGCTGCAGACGCTTGGCTCGGAAAAAAATATCACGAGACCTCAGTATGACAGCGTTCAAAATAGCCTATAGCTAAAAGCCCTTATGGTACGACTGGGCAAGATAATAACTGCTGAAGACAGGCAGGATTAAAAATAAAAACCATAAAATTAAACTGTACTCGAAGAGCTAGCGTAAGAAAAGTAAGAAATGGAACCATGAAACTGTTTTATGATAACTGTTTTATGATTAATGATTATTCCAATTATGATTGCACTGCAATTCCTAATGCAAGTACGCACGATCATTACACCTAACAAAAATTGTCATCGACTCTCATGGCGTATTTGAAGCAAAGTAAATAACGTTACAGTATCTGAAAATAGATGCAATGTTACCACTTGATGCAATGATGTGACGGATTCTCCGTATAAACAACATGTCCTATAGCATAGCGTAGTGAAATCGGCGCTGAAGAATAGGCCTGATGTGGCCTAGCTGTCACCTATTGATGTACTTTTCGTGACTTGACCACAGCAGATCTAGAAACAGGTCTTACGACAGGATCTTTTCCTAACTGTCGATAGTTTAAAATATCTACTAGACTTCCACCGGGTTCGATATGGTATAGGCATTTAAAGTCCGAACATACATTTCTCCAACCTCCAACATTTCTCTTTTCAAAAAAATCATACGAACAAAATGAGCTTGTATTTTGGTTTTACATTTATGTGTGAAGTTTCAGAAAGATCCGTTAGAAAATGTGAAAGTTTTTCTGAAGGGTATACCTCCTCCTTAAAGATTTCAGGGGAGCCGTCGACAATATTAATTTTAGTTTAATGAATAAGCATGCTTGCAAACCGAAGTTGACGTACCACTCCAAAGATATTCACTACTGGCCTCTTTCGTTCAACTTTCCCTAATTAGCATAAAAATTTCAATGTTTCGTGAGACAGTAACGTGGAGTTTCTTGTAGTAAATATAAAAGACGCCAATATTCATGTAGTACTCTACATGCCAGAATCTGCAGCAAAGTTTTTGGTTAATATTTTTATAAACTCCTTCAAAAAATTATGCTATGAGCAATAAATAGAAAAGATTATGGCTCTTACCTTCTCAGAATCTGGTTCAAGTAGGTTTTTCGAGTTCTTGCGTCCCATGAAGATTATCGAATAAACGTCGAATTTAGTCTTGCTTCTGTCGAGTCTTATTCCTTGCTGCTTACATCGTTTAGCGAAATTCCTCCAATTCTAATCGTGTTCCACTGTTGGAGGGCCGTGAACTATAGATCTGTCTTGCTGAACACTTAGGTAGAGCTTTAACTCATGACGGGCGTCGTCAATATTAGAAAGGGTGATCTTTCATTAAGTACTACTTTGTTTACTTACTACTTTTACTTACTTCCTTGGGTCGATGCACAGTCTCACTCCTTCTCGCATACTTCGTCATCACGATTTGGCTTACCCATTCTGTTGCTTCTTCCACTATGGGGCAATAACACCTTACTTCTCAAATGTTTCCAACCCCACTTTCTGTTTCGGTTTCAATGCAATGGGAACTCGTCGGTCTGGCATTAATTACGCAGGGCTGCGCATCTTTTTTTATTTTGTTGATGAATGCCGGGAAAGGTTATTAGGTCGTCTTTGAATATTCAAGGATTCTATTATCCATCTATTTTTCGATGTTCCTTTCTTTCAGTTCCATTAGCTTCATTAGCTGGCTTGCTCCGAGTTCTAAAATAGTAGTGTAGTTTTCTTCACTGCTCACAAAATTTGGGTTATATTTCTTCTTTTTCAAGGTAAGCACCACTACACGACACTATCATAATTGGGCGTAATTCTTATCGTGCCAGAGTATAACCACAATATTTGTTCCATTTATCTTTTTACGTTTCACGTAATTTATGGGAGGACTATCCACGCTGGAGACAGTAACTATTTGTAAGTTTGCAGTCCTATTTTCGATCTCCGTGGCGCATTTAACCATCTTGCTGTTGCAGCTCAGCTCGCTGAGTTTGTTGATCCATTCTTCCGATTCGGAGTCGGAGATTTCTTCGACGTAGTTGACTTTACTTTTCTTCGGACTTTCCCTCAGTAGTATTTGACAAGCACGTTGAAGTGAAGTGGTTCTTGTTTAAATATCTCTTTCCGTATTCTGGACACGGTATTCGGTATGCTGGACATTTGTTCTTGTCGAATTGGTAGGGCTTTCCACTAAACTTACACTGTCGCTTATTGTTCAATGCTTCTGCCTAGCAATCGATTACTTTATTTAATTCTAGACGTGAAGTTTTGTAATGGTAACCGCTTTTCATTTGCTTTACAGTAATCCAGAGTTTTCTCTAGCGTTCACTTGCGTGTATTCAGTAGTTCATTTTGAACATTCGCCTCATGTATTCTTCACAGCGTTGTTCCCTAACGTCATGCAGTCAGGCATTCAATGCAATTATAGTGTAGCTAGGCCAAGAGTTGCTCTCATCCATCATCACAATTAATTACTACGGTCAGATGCAGTAATGTTCCGTAAGCTAGTCGATATAACTCCTAATTGCAAGACAAGGTGGAAAAGGGCAGAGACGAAACTAATACCTAGGGAACTGTATTCGGTGGAATCTGACACACAACTGAAGCTTGGGCAAAAGGCTTGCCAGCGTTACGGTGACATACTAATGACAGCATTTTAGTTCTATTATAATTTGAGCATAATACGTAAACACGTAACAGTGTGAGAAATTCCTTATTTCTCACCGTAAATTTGTACATAGATACTAGGTTGCCTTCATTTATTCCATTTTTCTGATTTAATTTGTAGAATAAGTAGGTATTTAAAGTCAGTGATTCTGTAGTAGGCCTCAAGTGTCATCGAGAGTCGGTATCACGTGACACGTGGTTCAGACATTCGCTTCTTGTGAAAACTGAATTCAAAATCTTCACACAATGTCTAACTTCTCGGGCAATTTTACTGCCGGTCTCCCAAAATTCCGTGAACAAGGAATATCTCTCAAAATGATAAACGTAGCTCCTTGAAATTTGGTACATGTATTCATTAGGACCTAACTGTTATGTTTAGCTCGTGAATTTTTTTTTAATTTAACCCATATTCGTGAGTTATATGGCAATACGTGCCGAAATTCGCAGTGAACAAGACATTTCTTGCAAATTACTGAACAGATTTGAACGAAATTTTGGAAATACATTCCTAATTATCCAATGGTGATGTTTAGATCCAGACAATTTTTTAGATTTTGCCTTCGTTCACGAGTTATTTTATTTTTTCCTCATTCGTGATTTAAACAGCAATACGTGCCTAAATTCGCCGTGAACAAGAAATTTCTTCTAATATGCTGAACAGATTTGAACGAAACTTTGTATGTAGATACCTAACCTCCCAACGGTGATGTTTAGCTCGTGACAATTTTTTTGATTTCGCCTTCGTCTGCGACTTATAGGGCTTAACTTACACGGCTCTTGGTCAATGCAAATTTAAAAATGGGCCTAAGAAATGCCGGACGTTTCTCCGTACATCCTTATAGCTCGCGAGCTAATTCACGATTTAAACATCACCGTTGGATAGTTAGGTATGTATATTCAAAATTTCGTTCAAATCTGTTCAGTATACTTTGGGAGAAATGTCATGTTCACTGTGAATTTCGGCAGGTTTCGCTATATAAGTCACAAATGAAGGCGAAATTCAAAAAATTTTCACAAGTTAGACATCACCGTAAGGTCCTAATTAATACGTGTAGCAAGATCAGATACGTCAATTTCTAGTTAAAGTGGAATTCAATCATTAATCTCTTAAACGCGTCTTCTACTATCGTCATTTATAAACAATTCTGCAAACTTTTCTGCATCCGAACGATTTAGTATTTATTATATCTTGCTGAAAACCCGTTTCTTTTTTCATTAGTGTGAATGACGTTTAAATTTCGATTTGTTTTGTTCCTTTTGCTCATGATTTAAGTAATATAATTCAAATTTAATGCTTAGATTTAAATACTAGTTCAATCTATTAATTAATTAAAGTGTTCTTTGCTCTGATAGTGCGGTGTATTAATACTGTATCCGCCAAGTTTACCACAATTTAACATTTAGATTAAGTCTATTTCTAATTTTCATAAGCAGTTAATCCTCTTATTATTTTGTCTATTTTTCTCGTCCAACTTCCCACCCCTTTAAATGATTTCCGCAATAATTCTTCTTAAAAAAGTGTTCAACCACACCAGACAATAAAACATCAGGTTCGTAGATAATTGACAAATTTATCTCGGCTATCTGTTGTCAATATTTGGATATTTTAACAGCGTTAAATTTGACTATTCTCAACATAACTCCATTTCTTCCACAGTATCCAGTCATCCCGATCCAGTGACTGGCCGGCTTAACTTTACTTGTTTACTTCACACATTCGTCACCCTGTATTCTAACGAAACCCATGCTATACGGGCCTTCAACCATTAGAACAATTTACAGTTAGAATCAGCTGGAACATCCTGCAGACGAAACGGATCATTTCAAACTTTTGAAAGGTACTTTAATCATCATCTCAAGAAAACTCTGAACAAACTTAAATGTCTTTTAAAGCTTTGTTGGTTAAACTTAAAATAAAATTTCCCAGGATTATAATTTCTTTACCTTAGCTTCCTGGAATGTGTGAAAGCATCACCATCTTAACAGATTTTGGTGCACTGCTAGAGGAAATATTTTCGTATTTCTTATGTCCTTCTACTAGGTTCTGTTGTTGTTGCCGCCTGTAGCATAATCAGATGGCATGATTTTTTTCGCATGGTTCGCGTCCGTACTTTTTTCCTGCAGGTTTTTCATACTAACTCTAATAGAGATGTCGCCACCAAGTGACGTTTTAATCCTGCCCGTCATAAGCAGTTACTGTCTCTAGCTCAGTTATTCTATGGAGGCCTTCAGTAAGAGTATTCTCAAAACTTTTATATCGAGGTTTTATAACAAATTGGTCTTTTTCTGAGCTGTTCTAATTTTCTGTGCTCCCAAGCGTCTGCAGCAGCGGCTTGTTGTTGGTCTCCGGCAGCAGCAATATCAGGAAGGCTGCCAGACCGGCGAGAATGGTATAGATGGTCAGAGGCAGCCATGATAAGCCTGCAGGCTAAAAAAAGAGGATGGACACTTAGTTATAAACTACTTTTAAATAAAATTTATGTCATTAACTTTTTGGAAAAAAATTAAGTAAAAAGTCTGAAAAATATATTCTAGAAAAAAATTATAAAGAAATCAATTTTAATAAGAAAAGTCATATTAAATTATAAAAATCAAATTGAATTAGAAAAATAAAATTTTACTGATAAAATTAAAATATTTCGCAATTTATTAGTACTCAAATGTTTACTCTGCATTGCCGAACGCCTTTACGTTCTGAACATTCAACTGAGGTCTGCAATGGCATAAGTTTATTTAGATTTTAGAGGCTGGTCAGAATTGTTCTACGAATGCACGTGAACGTAAAGTTTTCGCACCATGAAACTTTTGTAAATTTAAGTTTTTTTTTCAAATGAAAACATCGTGTGAATATCGGACAAAACCTGAGATATATCCGCATTTTATTTCTATTTTAATTTATTTAAACAGTTTTATATTACATTATCGCTACCTCCATCACAAGCCGTATACGGATAATATTTTTCAAATGGGGTTTTGAACATCCAGATAGGCAGGACTTTAGCACTAAGATTGAAAAGTTCACGAAGGTTCCACCCTTTCAAATTTTCGAGTCTGTGGCGACCCTGAATTAGGAACCGCCTAGGACTCGGACCGCACGTAAATCAGCTTCTCTATGTCCGCTCCGGCTCAGGGTTCGAGGAGCAGCCTCGTCTGGGCAGTTTGCTAGCTCGGTAAGACTCGGCTCGGCCAACTCTTCTCATACTTTGAGGCAACTATAATGTCGGAAAGGAGATTCTGACCAGAAACTGATTTCGATCGGATGGCCCAGCAGACCCAGAATGACTCTGCGCCGAGTGTAACAACTATTCGGATAAACCATAGGCTGTCCCCGAATTTTGTTAGGGCAGATGGAATTCAGTGCACACGAACCAGTATTATCTTCAGCAACGGAGGGATGTTGAAGCCTACGTTCGTCATGAAAAAAGCCAGGCTGGTGCCCAGAGATCGAATGGATGTGGGGAATAACTCGCTGCAGAACACCAAATTCACCTGAAAACGAAATGAAAGAAACGAAAGTGTTGCTTAATAAATTAACACGAATCGTCATGGGGGAAAATTTCGAATACTCCCTAACCATCAGTCAATTTCGTTGAAGATGCTTGAAAAAAGTGATTTCCTTCCCAGATAGTGATAGATTTTTACGATAAATATTTCCTAATTTACAAGAGATTGAGTATATTCATAAGTCTGAGGCTATTGGGCTTGATACTATCTTCATCCAACGGAAACTATTAATTTCATTTTGAGTTTTGGTTTCAATTTTCAAGATATTATGTTCTAGTGACGCATGCTTTATCTCCTTAGATCTTCTAACGAAAATTTATCCATTGATTCTTTCTAAAGAGCATTGTTCGTAATCAATCAACCGAAGAGCTCGAATTATCAGATTTCGTGCTTCAGTTGTGTCATGTTGAAAATTGTTAGAATTGAATTATGATTAGTGCGTTCTATTAATCTTACTACTTACACAGATCTTCCACCTAGATACTTTGCCTCTCTCTTTCCTTGCGCGCGAACCATGTATTGCGAACTGATCGAGTATCGCAGAGTCTAAAATTATTTGGCGCTATTTTTGTGTTCCATTGTCAAGTAACGAGTATAAGTATGAACAAAAATATTGACAGCACCGAATGAGACAGAACCAGCAAGTGACACAGAAAGAATGAGACAGAAAAACCAACCCATAACAATTCATAGCAGCAAACTTCAATACAACAGGATTTGGTTCCGGTATATAACAGCCAGGATTCATTTTAGGCGAGAACCTAAATGACAAAACAGATACAATAATGGCCCTCAATTCCAACTACAAGGTACCATTTGAATGCCTCCTGTATAATATACATTAATGCCAGCATGCTATTTATTTTCTCTTGTTCTGCAAAATTGAACTTTATAACTAAAGTCATGCGTTTCATATATATTGGAGAGTCCTAACTTTAAAGTATTTTTGAATTTGAAATTTCAGTCGATAATACAATTGGTGTGTTAATGATAAAATGAATTCGATTTTATAACTAACGTTCTATAATTAACGTGCTCATAATGCGCACCTGAAATACACTGCAGATCATAGTATACCCGGACGCGGTGAGTACCATGTTCAGCCAATCTGTAATTTGTTGCATACATTTAATAATATAATTGATTGATTTCTGTATTTCTTTCATCATACTTACTCATTATTTATATTATTTAAAATACATAACATTATTTACGCAATGGAATGACAAACGGCTGTTCCTTGCAATGCTCAAAGCACAAGTGCACTGGTAGTTTTTATATGAAAATTGCAAGGCTACATATGGGACGATGTCTAACTAAAAACATTTGCCTGACTAATATTTTTGCACATGGAAATTAATACACCCATCAAAAAAATCAGATTACCGAAAAATCAGGCCTCACGTCCCAGATCGCAGTGTTTTTATTCAAGATTCGACTGCTATTGTTTGGCCAGGCATTTTTATTTATCCAACAAGTTAAACGAAATTTAGCTTGCTCCTGAGTATGGTTCAAATTCCATGAACTTCCGATTTTTTCGATTGCATAGATGACTTTATGTCATCATTTTCTGCTTCTTCGTTGAAACTTAATTGCGCAAATCTATTAGCTACTCACAATTTTGGTACTCTATGGCAATGAGAACCACGACGAGGATTTGCAGAGCACATGTGAGAAGAAGTCCTCCTATGAGGAACTTTTTCCTGCCCAGCCTCGCAGTGATGGGAGCCGCGACCGTATAGGCAGGGATTTCCGCAACACCCAACACGGCCATAGCCACGTAGGGTGAGCTGAAGGGGGCAAGGGTGCCATGACGTTACCCAAATCATGGTTCATTAACTAAATATTTTCAATGTTTTTTCTTAAATCGTACCGCCGAGAGCCATAACTAAATTCACAATTGTTTCATGTTTTCAAAAGTCTCCTGAGTAGATTGATATTCCGCTTAAAGTTTTATTAATTTTTTATAATTTCCATTGTGACGTAAATTTCGCCACGATTTCAATTATTGTCGCTATCCAGCATGGAAATTTCGTTCATTTGACATTCATTTTTTTTGTTGTCACATATGGTTTGATTTGCCAATTGTAGCTCAAAATATTGTCTTACCGAAAATTACTGAAGCCATACCTAACTGGCCTATTTTGAGCCAAAAAATATTATTTGTCAACTGTAGTATTGTCTGTTGTCATTGTTATTAATTTGAAAAAAACGTGACTATAGTCACATTTTTTAAACTATACTATAGTCATGTAAGTAGACAATAAAGTTAGAAATGATTCTTGGTCTAACTTTTTAGCCAACGTCCTATAATTTGGTTTTATGCTAAATCCTCTGACATTTCAAATTGACTAATTGATTGGCATTTCTGAAATTAGAACGTAAAGCTTATTTGAAAGTTTCTTGAAAATATCAACTATGTCCAGTTCTTTACAAACAAATGACGCTTCTTGTCCCCGATTTGTCCCATCAAACGAAATACAATTTAAAGGGACCTTAGCTTTAAAAAGTTTAAATGATTAATTATCTTATTTAGGCCTACATTTATCCTCTATATCCCTATTTCTTCACCTATGGAACAGCAACGGTAGACGTTACAACTAACGTATACTATTAATACTGAATAGTCTTGAATTAATTTATGACGCCTTTGACGTACGGGAATTGGTCAGCGCTGAGCGGTATGCTGATGTACAGGCAACTCTGCATCAGCCACACAGGCAACAGAATGCCGGTCACTCTGCGCAGGTACGGCGACGACACCAGAGACTTGAAGCGGGATAGGAGCGTAGAAGGTGGTTTCTCCCCGCATTCTTTCTGTGTTAGAAAAATAAATACCATATAATTTTTTCTCTAAGTTTCTCGGGTGGATATTTTTGACGGAATTAATGAAGATTTACGTGATGATATTAATTTTATTACTTCTGTTAATTCATCATACACTATTTAGATTTGAACTTAACCGAGAGTGATTTTACCAATTCATCGTTGAAATTGTAAGTAGGATCACAGTCTGATGTATGAACGCCGACCGGATAAAAGCATATACCGCAGGAGAAAGATCATTTTTAGTCTAAACCAGAAACACTTTAATATTCGCGAGAGTGTAAGATGAGAAACATTGTATTCGGCATCTTTAATGTTGGAGGGTTCACCTCCTTAAATGTTTACCGCATGAATGCCTACCAGGACGCCCATCAAATTGTCCGGCAAGTTGTATGTCGTTTTGTTCCACTTCGCGACTCTGAGCAGCGATGCTTCGGCTTCTTTAAGCCGTCCTCTAGTAACAAGCCAACGTGGAGAGTCTTTCAATAAACTGCACATAGGTGGGAAACAATGGAACTGAGGTACAGTTTGATCAGATATTTTTCCCGACGTAATGAATGAATTTCATATATGATTGTACTGTATTTAGGTATAAAACTTTGCCTGCTTGCATGCATACCAATATCAGTGAGTAAGCCGTTATCGTGGTGAAGAATTCACGCTAATGAGACTAACCTTAGAGTTCTAAGTAATAGTGTAACTCGTGTATTTACTCACAAAGGATTGCTTAAAAGAAGCAGTAATGCGAGAGGAAAAGAACCAGCTAGCTGTAGCATCCGCCAGTCCGGACATGCATAAGCCAGTCCGGCTAACAGGCTAAGCATTACGGCGTATGGCAAAGCCATGCATACGCCGAATGCCGACCGCAAGGGCGTCGGGCAGAATTCTAAACCTGCACAGCAACCCGAATTGAGAGAACAATTACATGTTCTCTCTTACTTTTTACATTACGTGAACAAAGATGCTAGCAGAGTTCCAAATGTAAATGTTAAGACTGTTTGAACAGACACTGATTCTAAACATCAACATTGCTATCTATTTGCTGTAAACTAGTACATTATATTGACAAATGGAAGGTTGAGAGCATTGCCAGTATATTCTCCTCTGCTCAGTAACTTACCCAAGGTGTATATAGGCGAATATATGAACATTGTGAAGAAACCGATGAAGAATCGACAGACGAGGATGCTTGTCAGGTTCGGTATAGTGACTAGGAGTGTGATGAAAAATGCTACCAGTGCCGAACCGTACCACAGGGTGGGTTGTCGACCGAGCCTGGCGAAAAACGTGCATTATGAAGCAACATCTTGCAACTTCTACTGTGGTTGTACATTCAATGTCAAGCGTTTGTGAGTGCTTTCATAAAATTTGAACTTTAATTTTCGTTTTTCAAAAGGAAATTTTCAGAATAAATACGTTCCTAAGTTACTTTAATTCAAAGCATAGTAATTTCTTTAAAATTGTATATCGGTTGATTATATTGATAGTTTCTTACAAAGAAAAATAAACACTGGAAGGCTTAATAATAAACACAAATCAGAGGTGCCCTCCACTCAGAAGTTCGGCTCATAAATTTTCTTGATGAGGCTGGCTTGACCAATGATCCTCCGTGCCTGTCGATTGTTACCGATGAACCACTCATGATTTTTAGCATGAATTTGCTTTAATTGCAATCGATCTGCGTAATACTCACGAATTGTGTGGTTGAGGATTAAGATTATTCCACCCACTCACTTGTCGGCCAGCAGCCCCCCGACAGGACTACCCACCAAGCAGCCAATCGTGAACATCATTTGAAAGAGCTCTCTGATGTTGGCTTTGGAACACACCAACTCGAACTGTAGTGAAGCGTAACATACGTTACAATGACATTTAGATAATTACTGTCAGGTCGTAAAATTGTAGTATTATTAAGTCCTCAACCTCATTTTAAACTAAAATTAGAGTCATTGACTCGCAACATTCATCCTAATAAACACTCACTGTTCAATGTTGTTCGTGATGAATTTTTAAATGCGGTTTTGAACCTGAATTTATTTTGAGACAATTGCTACAGTGGTTTAGCGTCAAAACTGGAACACGAAACCTCATACATTCAGTATGCAACTATTCATCATTTTCGACCACCTAACGAACACTAATATTTAAATTTGATTTTTGGCCATGTATTAAATTATAAATTTTGAAGCTACAAAACACTTGCCTCTTCAGTCAGGGTGAAATGATAAATTTCATGAGAAAATTGATACAGATCGCAGCTCCGCGAGTCATAGGACTCTGCTCCTGCTGGCACCTCACATTCCGAACTGCATTTAGGGATTAGGAATAAAATGCGATTATTTTTCTTAGTCAAATAGAGATTTATTCTGGGATGAATAATATACGATTATTCTGCTCATTCCAGTAGAGATTTATTCTGAAGTAGCATCGTGATCATTATAGGCTCCTTGTTAATCGAACAATTTGGCAATGCAACGGAAGTGAGCGTAAGCCATGGTAAAAACTTACGAATTTGTTGCAATGACGTCCGGTTGATGTGTGTTGATACAAGTAAACTGAACAGGCGGAGCTATGAACTGGGATCCAAAGAGATTGATCACGTGCGACATCGGTCCTGTGTGGTGTCCATTGATTAGAATGATTTATGATTGTCAAGAGATATATATTTACGATGTGAAGAGAGTGGAATTACTGGACGGAATCGCTGAAACCTTTGACGTGGCACGGATGGAATTTCACATTAAAAGTAGTATGATTTTTCATCAGGTCGTTGGAGGAACTCGATTTTTAGCAAGAGCTTACTTTAGCTTGAGGTAAAGGTTTAATACGATGAAATTATTTTTTTTAGTTTTATATATATAGGTACTATTTAATGGTTACGTATCAATTTAGGTATAAAGTTTTAGACGAAAAAGTCTGGACATGGAATTTAATTTTTGAGCTTTCATGCATTGTACGAATGTAATTTGATTAATATAATTGCCTAACTAATATAGAGCTACCAATAACAATTGCTTATTTTATCACAGAAAGAATGCCGAGCCTCAAATTCTTTTTAATAAGATAATTTCTAATTACCATGCATACAACGAAAGGCCTAATTAGAGGTTTAAATAACTATACATCACTAGTTTTGTTTTGCACAGCTGTGTGCAATCCATTAAAAATGTTCATTGTACGACACTTAACAAAAACGAAGGAGTATAAACAAAATGTATATGATGACTATGTCACAAGTTCAATATATTTATTGAAATAGGTAACTGGCACAAAGTAGGCGAAACCTATAGCACAGGCTCCGGCTGGTAGGAACTCCT